AATGGTAGGGCCTGGGTTCAAGCACTGAGTTAAAATGTAGGTCATTTCCACTAAAAAAAGTGGCTTCTTTCTACACAATAGGCTTAAACCAGTTTCTGAATAAGCCCATTTACTGCGTTTGCAAAATATCTTGAATCAGAATCTAACCAAGTACCGAGGCTCATGTGAACAAGTTAGCCCATCTTCAAACCCACCAAGCTCAGCATATTTGCCAATGCAGCTACTACTGTAGATTTAAAGTTATGGGGACACAACCAATGATTTTCTTATATGGGCATAACTTCCATGTAGGAAAACTGTGTATATGAGAAAGTCATTGCTACAAGTGCATGCAGCTAGAATACAAAGTGCTGTTAGTGTGTGTTTTCCTATTATTCTGCAGAGGCTAGTTCTCTTGGGTGAAACTGGCAGCCATGAAGGAAAATCAGCCCTTGAGTTACATTAGTTCCTCTATTAGGGGAACAAGAGCTGGCACATCAAACTTCATTCCAGCAACTGATGGATGGATTGATTGATTGATTGATGGTTCAACTTAGAACAATGTACATCTTCAGTAAATAACAATTAAATGCTTACAGAAATAATATGATGGACAAATAATAAAAACAAAATACGAAAACACAAGGACATAAAATGCTGGGAAAAATTCAACCAACGGGATCATCGGCCATCGAAATCATACCACTCCTTGACCCAGCACCTGGGGAATGATCCAGGTCTTTGATGCTTTTTGAAAGGCAGGCAGGGAAGAGATCAACCAAATCTCAGGGGGGTGCTGTTCCAAAGGGTAGGGGCAATGCCAGAGAAGGCATATCACCTGGGTCCTGCCTAAATGATGGGACCCTGTGTGCCAACCTGATCAGATCTTACCAAACAGGCAGAAATAACTGAAGATAGAAGGTGCAGCAAATAGCCTAGCTCTGCACCATGAAGGGCTTTACAGGTGAGAACGAGCACCTTGAACTGCAATAATAATCAGTTAGTGGATAGCCTGATTTTTCTGCAATCTTTTTGTCCTCAAGTGTCTTGGATTCTGTGGTGTAGTGCAGTCCAGTGATTTATGTACTGTGGGAGAAAGAGGGGTTCCTCTTTTGCAAGCAGAGAAGTCTCCCAGGGACACTATTAAGGGTTGCACTCCCTCCTGGCCTTAGGCCCTGGCAAATGCTCAATATTGATGCCCTCTGGAGCGAGCCCAATTCGTGCACTTATTATTAGATCCATCTACTTATAGGTCATTGAGGCATTCTGTGAAGATGAACAGAAAAACCAGGAAGTAGGAAGAGGCTGCTTTTGTCAAATGGGAGAATTGGAACAGGTCTGATCTGATCTCCAGAAGGCTGTAAGATCTGCTGAAAACCTAGGCTAAAAAACCATGATGCCCTTGTCATGTTACTAAAGTGATGGCTGATTAAAGAGTGAAATATTATCTGCTTGATCCTACAGAGTCAGTATCTTTCAGTCTGTCTGTTTCCATCTGCTGAGCTTCTTCTTTTCTTTCAACTCCATACAGAGTTGCTGCTGTCCAACGTGGACAAATTTAGCCTAGTCTTCTGTTAAAACAAATAGACAAGCTGAGCCCTAAATGCCACCTCAGGACTTATCAATGGGATTTCTAACATTTTGTACCAGCTTGAAATTGACATGTGCACCGAAGGTGGGGCTGACTGCTTTCTCTCAATGCCTGAGCTGACAAAGTTGAATGAATCAGGACCAGGGTGGGCCCCAGCTGCTGCTTTCCTTCAAAACAAGGTTTTGCCAGCACAGCTAAGCCAGTACAAGGGCTGCCAAGGGCAGAATAGTCATGAAAAGTTCTGGCAGGTGCTAACACTTTGGACAGAGCTAAGTGCTAGGGAGGAGAAGAAAATCAAGGTGTTTTCCTCTTGATGCATGCTCTACCTCTGGTTGTAGCAGCTTTGATTTCTTTCTAGGAGGACCTGTAGAAGATTGTGAAGAAACCCACTGTATTCCAGGAAGAGGAGATTTCCATGGAGCCAGTCTTGCCATATTTGGTCAGAAACTATGGCCAGCAATACAAGTGCAAGTTTAGAGACCAGGTCCTGGCATCTTCCCTTAATAAAGAAGGCATAGTAGGTGATAAGGAAAAAATCACTTGAGTTCATGGAGAAGCACTTCTATGGAGTATTTACTAAATCTGATTATTGGATTTTCTGAGTTCATATGACATAGTGAATCATAAACTAACCAAATGGGCAAGGTTCACCCAGCATGCTAAGCAACAGAAATATCTAACCAAGGTTAACACTACCCAAACTAATGCAAATTCATCTGCCTAGTCTTTTACTGATCAGGTTAAAGATGCAGCATGAACATAGCTAGAGGGATTTCCTGAGATAAGCAAACTTGTGCCCTTGATATGTTTTAGACTACAACTTCCATAATCCTTGACCACTGTCCATACAGGATAGAGCTTATGAGAAGTTTAGTTCAACGCACCTAGAGGACACTGGGCTGCCTGCCCCTGGATTGCAGCCAATACAAGGCTAGGCCAGGGAACTGCGATCTCTTTTAGAGTAAGGATGTGGGTAGGCTCAAAAAAGAAAATGGCCAAGGTCAGGGAAAAGAAGTAAGCCAGAATAAAAAAATTAAATATACCACTGTTTTTTTTTATTTCTTTTCATCTTCTAATTACGTTAAAAGTTCAACAGTAGCTTTTGGAGGTCTTCTGAAGAACTGTACTCAGGACTTTAAAGGGACCAAATTATCTACCCTTAACTAGCTGGACCCAAAACTGGTTGTGATATATAAAGCATCTTTTTACATAATCAGGTTCAGAATAACAGAATGCAGTTCCCTTGCTTTCCTGTGGGACCATCTGAGGTCATTCAGAGCTTTGGAGTCCTTGGGGTTCTCTGAGCTTGGTTGTTTTCTTGCAAACGTTTTGTTACTGAAGATGTTACCTAGCTGGGTAACAAAACGTTTGCAAGAAAACAACCAAGCTCAGAGAACCCCAAGGACTCCACCATTCAACCCTGAACTATGCATATTCTCTTCTGTTGGCATTCAGAGCTTACCAGAGCCACCCAGTTCAGAATGTTTCCAGGGAACGTATGAAATCATACAGGAGATAGATCACTCTAGAATGTGTGGGATTCTGTTTTCTCACTCTTGAGTAACCACAACCAACCTCCATAGAAGCGGGAGCTAAAAGAACTCTGATTGTTCCCATTTTAGGAATTGTGCCTAATAATCACATCATCATAAGTCTGCCAAAGACCACTGTTGTTACTGATGATATATGTAATCCTCTCCCTAGTCCCTCAATTACCTAGCATTTCTCTACTGTTGCCAGAAACCTCTTTCTGTGCTTGGAAGACATTCAACAATCCATTTCCCAGTTCTCTCCCTCAGCCAAAATCAGGTTAATGGAAACTGTGAGCACCATCCACGTTTTGTTATGGAGACCAACTGGAGATGTTGGTGTGTGTTCATTTATAAATAAAATTTATAGGCCACCCAACTCATAGTGACTCTGGGTGGTGTACAAAACAAAAACAATCTAATACAATACAAAGAAAAGAAGGCAATAACCCAGAGAATAATACACTAAGCAAGTTAACAAAATGCCCACCCCAGCACACGCTTCTTTACCAAGTGCCTGGAGAAAAATCTGGGTCTTCAAGGGCTGTTCAAAGGATAGCAGGGTCAGGGCAATTCAAACCTCTTGGGGGTATTATTCCAGAGGGGAGATGCCATGGCAGAGAAGACATGCCACCTGGCTCCCTTCAGATGACACAGTTTTAATGATGAGAACAGCAGCATGCCTACTCTGTCAGATTTATCAGACAGACAGAAAAAATGGAGAAACGTGATCCCTCAGGTAGCCAGGCCCTGTGCCATGAAGGGCTTTATAGGTCACAACCAGCACCTTGAATTGAACCTGGAAGCATACTGGTAACCAGCGCAGCTTGTGTAGCAGAGGTGTTACATGGGTTTACCAAGGTGTACCACAATATTCTGCTTGCACCATGACATTCTGTACCAGCTGCAGTTTCCATGTGATCTTGAAGGGGATATGGTTAGAAGGCATTGCGATAGTCCACATGTGAAGTATGGGTAATCGTGACATCATATTCCCAGTTTAGGAAACTCAGCAACTGGTGCACCAGACAAATCAGGGCATCTGGGAGCGGATCCTTTTTAGGATGGTGACTATCGGAATCTCTCCCAGAGCTCAGGAAGAAGACTCTCCCATTCCTTGCCACGTGTTCAGGAGACACTAGGAATTAAACCCAAAGCTGAACCCAAAGCTTGTGCTCTTCTTCAGAACAATGTTCCTTATTGCTTTGATACTAACTGTTGTTTTGGTCTCAAGATTAAGATTCTTTCAAAAGATTCTTTCGACAGTCTTTCCTGCTGAGCATAGCCCAGGGCAAAAATCTCAACAGTATTATAATGAAAACTGGAGGCATCAGGTCATGGGTTACCACTAACCTTGGTCATTATAAAGTTGTTGAAAGGCTAGGGCTAGGGAGGAGGCAACTAACAATTCATCCAACTGTATAGATCTTTAGCACGTAGGAATATTTTAACACACTCCCTACATTATAGGGAGCGTTGTATAAAGTTTCACCCATACTTCTTTGTTCTAATTGATCAAACACCCTTGGATAATGGCCAGTGCCATTATCTCTATTTGGTCAATTGAGAATTGAAACTGACAGAGCTGAGCAGAAACTTGTTAGTGAATTCATAATAAAGGTTTGCTCTCAAAGTAGCCATTTTTCTGCATCATCATTCAGCTCCCAAACTATAACAGGTGTCTTTTAAACTGTATCTTTTGCAGCAAGTTTAGTTTGTATATTTGTTTATTCATTTTTTTTAAAGCAGGTTTAAATCAGTGACCATTTCAACATGTTGAAGGCCAACCATTTGGGGGTATCTGTTCGGCTCCATCTTTCCTTCTACACCACAGTGTTGTACGTGCAGTGCATTTCTCTTTTAATCATCCCTGTGGAGCACTAGCAGAGAAAAATACTGATTTGTTCCTCCTCATTGTTCAGTTTGCCTCACCTCCTACTCCTCCGGCCTCATGTGAGCAAATGAAGAAGCCACGTTTCCGTCCTGTGCATTACACAAGGTTTTTCCAAGCATAATACCTGATGTAAGAATTATCTGATCTATCTTTGTGGGAGACCATTAATATTTTCACTTTACATAAGCAGAAAACTAGGTACCATTTGGATTAGAGGCATCTTACCTTCAGTATTCAATTCAACCTCTAGATGAGGTCAGAGTTCTTCACCTTCTCCACCCTTTCCCCACCCCTTTGCTCCTTTTGCAAGGCTCTCTGTTTGACAGATTGACTCTGGCTTTTGGCCCAATGAACATTTTAAATGTATAAGGGCCCACTGTGCTCTGTCATATATTAAAGGAAAAGGAAAGCCACTGAGAACTGGGCTGGGATGGTTAGGAATGAAATCAGTTCCTTCAAGATCAGAGATAAGGGGACAGGGGAGGGACATGACCTACAAAAGTCCCATCCAGTATCTGTCAAAACAAACTGGATCCTTTTCCTGCACGAAGTTACTTAAGGTGATGGCCAGGATCCCAGCTGCTTTAGAACCACACAGCCTCAGATCTTTGCCTCTCTACTCATCATCCTTGACCTTCCAACACAACCGAACACCGATGCTGCCCAAGTTCAGCCACAGGCACCTGCCAGACAAAAACATGCACAATACAGAAATCTCTCCTCCTGGCAGCTTCTTGGAGGCAAGAGATTCAGACATAGACTTCTTTGGCTCCAGGGAGGAGGGGAGTGATCAATTCCACATGCTTGGTGGTCAACAAAGAGAGAAAAGCAGAAAGCAAGGAGGGAGAGAACCCGGTTACTTTACCTTTGTCAAAGCTGTGATTTTTCTCAGTCAGGAAGGAAGCGGCTGGCAGATCTAGCCAGCCATTTCTCCCCTTCTTTGTGCTGCTGCTCCTGCTGCTGCTTCTGACGCTGTGGCTGCAAGGAGGAAAAAAGGCTGCAGTCTTCACGTCTATTTTAAGCCCTGGCATGTCCAGGGGCACATTTGTTTCCTATCCAACAGCGGATGGGAGAGAGTCGAGGCGGCACAGAGGCGGTTGCTTTGACTGAGACACGTGGAAGCACACACCACACTGGAAAGGACAGCTGCCCTCCCATCCGCTGCATGCATGAGATTTCAAAGCATGTGCGGTTGCTTGTGCTGGCTCCACAGGAGAAATACCGTTTGCAAAGCATTCCTGGGAAGTGTGAGTTAATGTTTACAAATGAAAGGGGGCCCATTGTCCAACAGGGAAGTGGGTAATTGAAGGTGACCTCAAATGGCAAATTCAAGCTAGGTCTTGGTTCCTAGGCCAGGTGTGAAATCAAGTGGGGAGAACCTCTTTTGGTTAACATAATAGGACTAAGAAAAATTAAGAAAAAACAGTGGCTATGAAATGTTAAAGAGTGTCAAGTGATGCTGGAGAGAGGATTTGTTTTGTGTTCCTCTTCCCCACTTACCTTCAATCTGATGGATGAGAAATTATTTTAACTGATTTTTTTTTTTGCAAAGGTGAAGAATACTTTGGTGACATAATCATGGCTGAATGCAAGATTACTCCACTAGCCTTCCGTATAATGTGAAGAATGTATGTTTTTCATTGTGTAACTCTCTCTTTGATGTTGTGCAGCCTTCTTGGCTTTCAAATCTTCCAAGGAAAGATAAAAAGGTAAAATTGTCCTCATGGATTTTTTTCAGATCAGTAAGTATGAGCAGCTCTAGACCTTGAAAAATGATGCAGAAGTGTGTAATTAAAAAGCCAGCTTTTTGTTATTTCACAACCACAGAATAAGCTCAAAAAGAAGAAGAACCAATAAGAGAAGTTTGGTACACATTTGAATGCTTCCAGAACTCTTAAAAACAAACAAACAATGAAAACAACAACAAAAATTGCCAGTAGAGTGTTTAGGTATTCCATGTTATGGACATAACATTGTTTTTCAAAGACTATCCTGTTAACTTGGTTTAAAGATCAGTAACAGAAAGAAGGGAGAGTGAAGCTACCAGTCAATGGAGAACAGCTAGATACCAGACCACAGTGACATAATGAGGAAGTTTTAGTTTTCTTTCCCTCTCTGTGTTTGAGTAAATATAAAAGGAGTGCGTGGCAGGAGTTTTTCAGTGTTTCTGTCAGCATTTTATCTTGGAAGTTTCCAATTCTTTTAAGCCAGCATGCACATTTGGAAAGGGAAGAAGGCTAAAAAGTTTTCTTGTGTGTCATCACAAAACGGCAGCCACCTGGAATACCATTCACAGTAATGAGGTTAAAAGGCATTTTAGTTGTCTAAGATTCCAAATCACCTGGATTTGGTAGGTGTTTTCCACCTTTGCTTCTCAGAGTCTTTCTTAAGTGCATTTTAGGCTTATATTGCATTTCAGTAGTTCTTAAACCGTTTGACCCAGTTGCTCCTTTTTCTGGTCTCAAACAATGTCATTGCCCCTACGAAAAAGCAGACTCTGGTTTTACACAAGACTCTCAGCAGCAGCAGTCCCAAACTGGATCCTCAACTCACAAATAAGCAGTTGCAAGTTGCTCCATTACCCCCAGGATATATCCAACTTCCAGTTTAAGAACGACTGCTATATTTTGTAATTTGTGTATGTTTTTCCCCAGCACACCAACTTTGGGCCACATGCATGGAGAGGCTTCAAGTTACTTACGCTTATTGCATGTCAGAAGCTTTGCTTCTCTATTGCAGGACTGAATAGGTGCCTGAGCACAAGGTGAAATCCATATTTATTTCTATTTTCTGTCTGCTGGCCTTCAGTTTCTGGGGATTTCTGTGCAAGCTGCTTCTACCTCTTGAGGCTAAATCAGAATCAGTGTCAGGAACAGGGTTGTCCACAAGGTGTGGTAAAAGAGGTCAAGATGGTGGCTGTGATGATGTGATTGAAGCTCTACTTGGTTGTGTTGTATATAAAAAACAAAGTGTATGTTGACATGTAACATGATCAGGAAAGTAGGGATTCTCAAGGAGCCTTGGGGAGTCCAGCATTGAGGCAAAGTCTGCTATTTAAAATTCTCCACTTTTTTTTAAAGATAATTTGTATTAAAGATTTTTAAAAAGGAAGAAAAAGAAAGAAAAGAAAAAGAAATCGAAGAGAAAGCTGAAAGTGCAAGAAAGGAAAAAAAAGTAAAAGAAAAATAGAAAAGAAAAAAAATGATACAAAGAAATAGCTTCTGATCTTTACAGTAGATATAAGTACAATTACAAATTTACCTCTTACTCTGTGGTTGCAACATATCTCTTTTCTTTCTATAATCTATCCTGCCTAATAATCAAAACTATAGATTATACATTCTTTTTTTTTTAATGTAAAAAGTTCATAAGGGGTTTCGGTCAGTGATAAATATATTGTCTTTTCTCTGATCAAACAAGTCAATTTGGCCATCTCAGCAAGTTCTGTCATCTTCACCAGTCATTCCTCCATTGTAGGCAAATCTTTCCATCTTTGTGCTTACAATAATCTCGCTGCAGTTATCATATACCAAAAAAAAAAAAGTTCCATGACTTTTTTTGGCAACTTTTTATCCATCAGTCCCAAGAGGAAGACTTCTGGTCTCAATTGTATATTAATCTTTAAAAGCCTCTGAATCAGTGTATGTGTTTGAATCCAAAATTTTCTAGCTTTTTTACACATGTACCAAGCATGACAAAATGTCCCTTCTTGTTTTTCACATTTCCAACATAAATTTGAAGTGCCTTTATACATTCTAGACAATTTCTCTGATGTCATATACCAATGGTACATCATTTTATTAAAGTTCTCTTTAGGATTATAATATGGTGTAAATTTCAATCCTTTTAACCACATATTTTCCCATTGTTCCATCTGTATAGTATAACTAAAAATTTTAGCCCACTTCACCATACATTCTTTCACTTGTTCTTCTGTTTCCAATTTCGATAAAAGTTTATACATTTTAGCAATTACATGTTCGTCATTTGTACACAATTCTATTTCAAACTCAGTCTTACAGTTTTCAAAACCATACATTCTTTTGCCTGCTTTAAATCTTTCTAATAAATGTAAATAAGAGAACCATTGACAGCTCTATCCCTCTGCCACCAGGCCTTCTCTTGATTTTATTTTACATTCCCCTTGACAAAATTCTAGTATCTCACGATAAGTTAGATGAGTTAAATAGTGCATCAGTTCTCAAAACAGATATTCTCTGAAAGAAGAAACATTATTTTAGGCAAGACATTCCCTTTTATCATGAAATTCTCCCCAGCAATGACAGCTGTAGTTTCTCCCATCTTAACATGTCTTTTTTTTTACTTCACTCCATGTTTTAACACAGTTATTTTGAAATAACATACAGTTCATATTTATCATAGTGATACCCAGCTATTTTACCTTCTTCTTAATCTTAAAACCCGTTTTATTCATCAGTTCTGTTTGATCTTCTATTTTCATATTTTTGTTAACATTTTTATCTTCTGTTTATTATCTTGAAACCTGCTAATGCACCAAATTCTTTTAATTTGCCTATTAATATTTCAATTCCCTTTAAAAGATCTTCCAGAACCAACACTAAGTCATTTGCAAAAGCCCTTAACTTATTAGTTTCTTTTTTAATCTTTACTCCCACAATTGTCTCATCTTGTCTTATATCTCTATTCCACATTTCAAGAACCAAAATAAATGAGAGTGGGGATTCCTGACATGTTCCTTTTTGTATCTCACAGGGTTTTGTTAGATCTCCATTAATAATTATTTGTGCTTTCTGTGAAGTGTAGTTCTTACCCATTTTATAAAGTTCTCTCCAAAATTCATATCTTCCAAAATCTTGAACAAGAAAACTCAGTTCAAATTGTCAAAGACCTTCTCTGCATCTAAGAAAATCAACCTGTCTTGTTTTTCATTACATTGCTCCAAGTATTTCAGAGTGTCCAACACATTTCTAACATTGTCCTTTAACCGTCTTTTAGGTAAAAATGCACAATGATCTTCATGAATAAATTTTGCAAAATTATTTTCAGTCTACCGGCTAGAAACAACTTGTAGTCATTATTCAATGATGATATTGGCCTACAGTTTCTTGTTAAAGTCAAATCTTGTCCCTCTTTAGGTATTAGTGCTATATTGACCTCTTTCCAACTCTCTGGCATCTTTACTCCCTGTAGGACAGAGTTTGTTGTGTTTTGTAAAGGTTGTAAATGTTAAAGTCAAATCTTGTCCCTCTTTAGGTATTAGTGCTATATTGACCTCTTTCCAACTCTCTGGCATCTTTACTCCCTGTAGGACAGAGTTTGTTGTGTTTTGTAAAGGTTGTAAAAGTTCACCCTCAAAACATTTATAATAAGAACCTAATAATCCATCTGGTCCAGATACCTTTCCTAGTTTAATCTTTTTTATAGCCTCAGAAATTTCCTTTATTGTTATAAGTCCATTCATAATCTGTCTCTGTTCTTCTGTAATCCTCAGTAAGTTTTGTTTCTTTAGATATTCATCTATTTTCTCCAAGGAGATGTCACTTCCTTTATACAAATTGGAATAATATTGATGAAATGCTTTTTGTATGGCCGCATTGTCCATTATCTCCCTCTTGTAATTTCAATATCATTTTCTTTTCTTTTTGTAATTTAAATGCTAGCCATTTCCCTGGTTTATTTGCAAACTCAATTCTTTTTTTTTTGCTTTACATAATTCATTTTTATTACTAGTGCTCTTGCTGTTAACATAGATAACTGTTGTTGTAAAAGCTTAATTTGTTGAGAAATACTTATCTTCTCTGGAAATTTCTTTAATTCTTTTTCGTTCCTCTTTATTTTATCCAAAATAGCTTGTGTTTTCTTTTGACTCTTCTTTTTAAGTTCACTATTACGTTGTATAAAATAATCTCTAATAAAAGCTTTGCTTGCATTCCAAACCATTCTTAAATCAGTGCCTTTCCCTAAATTATTTTCAAAAAATTATTTTAATTTCTTCTTACAATCCCCCACTAACGCTTCCTTCTGTAGC